TTCATTTCAACATTGTATTTAAAAAAATACAATAACAATATGCCAAATATAAGTTTTTCATAGTACAGGTCCCCTAAAAAATATATACCAAAAAAATTTTTTTTTCATTTAGTAGAAGAATTCAGAAGAAATGAATCCAAGAAAACTCCCAAAAAGTCAATAAAAATATCTTATCGGGCATGCTTCTTTTTTTTCGATTTATGGGTTTAAGTATGTATATGTATTCAGTATCAGTTTTGAACATTTGAAACAAAAAAATGGGACATTGAAAGATTTTAACTTAGACATTTGTTGGTTTTTAACTTCTCTTATTTTATTTTTCTATGATTAGTAGATTAATATATTAGAGAAATATTGTTATTTCGACAAATTTTCTATTAAAAAAATGTCTGTGTAAAAAAGACATTTTCGGCTATTGATCCTTCTGTATCATGGTAATTTCTTGAATGACTGTACTTATTTAGTCGATTTTAATAATACTCTAATAGTTGTGGTAGGGGGACAGAAGCGCTTGGATCTCTTTGAGTTCTGCTTTACTTTTCACATGAGAGCGGCAAAGCATGGTTGAGGGGTCTCCAGGCTGAATTTAAATATTGTTTACAGGAAAATTATAAAATCTTAATGCGACATAACACTTCCCATACAGACACCCCCAATATTTTCCTGAACAACTCACCTCTCATTCCATACTTCCGTAAAGAACCTTGGTGTTACATTCGATCAAACCCTCTCCTGGAAACCACACATCTCCCAAATTTCCCGTCGTACTATCTCTGCCCTGAAACAGTTTAACCGTCTCCGTTATCTCCTTCCATATAAATCCCGTCAACTCCTGATTTCCCCCCTTGTGTTCCCCCACTTCGACTATGGCTGTCTGGTGTACGGCGGACACTCGGGAGAATTCGAGGCCAAACTTAAACGCCTAATGAACTGCGCAATACGTTTTGTTAGGAATCTCAAGAGATACTCATATAACCCAGTATTACACCAAGTTGAAGTGGCTCTATCCATCCAACCGCCGTCTGTACTTCCTTGCTACCTTTCTATACCAAGTCATCAGCGGCCTTCCTATATTTTTCGCAGCCTACAATTCAAATATTCCATTCAATCGCGTCTCACTAGATCTCGTACCTCCGATCTCTATCCACCTCTTCACCGAACTGCTGCCTTTGACAAATTCTTAATAATTCAAGCCATCTCCTTCTGGAATACCATGGCTCCCGATATCCGACATGCACAATCAGTTTCCTCATTTAAATCTCTCCTCTTTAAGCACCTACTACTTTCCCAATCATGAAATGTAGATAAGAAAACTTTTTGAAGTTCTGCCAGAAATGATTTTCTTTACTTATGCTATTTTATTTTCCCACATTTGTATTGCACATATCAGTATGTTTTTAGTGTGATTGTTTTATTCTTTTTCCAAAATCTTAATCTTAATAAGAATTGTAAATAATTAATTTTATGTATGGCCACACAGGCATTTAATCTGTATCTATAATTTGTCCTAAAGCGAAAAAAATACTTTCATTTTCATTTCATTTCATTCTCACACGAGTTTCTTATTGTGCTTGGTACCTAAAGTAAGAAAGAAGTGGTGCTAGTGTTCACAAAAAGATTTTTTTCCTACAAACTTTTTTTTTTATCTTGTTCACTTTTATTCTGAACTTGAATCATTATTTTCTAATTTACGCTCTTATAAAACTCTTTACAATGTTTTATTTCAACCTTTTAAAACGACAAAATATGAAGAAAAGTGTTCTTCGATAAATATGGAGATGGTGTACATACACTTTTTTTTTAGATATGCTGATCCCTTCGTGGAATGCTTCATTGCTAATAAATATTAACAGCAATTTCATTGTGAAAATTTGAATAGCAAACAAAACGGCTGTGACTGGGAAGCGGCCATCTGCAAACAGCTCCTACCCTCACCCCTCACCCAGGCCAAACATCAAATATTTGCCGGCTGAATATTAATTTTTGAAAAAGTAGAGGGACAGCAGTAGAGGGGGGGGCGAACTGGCGAAGGATTTTAATTGTTCTTGGACAGTTTTAAATATTGGGACAAAGTATTGGAAAGGATAGCAATTGAAGTAGCTAACGAACTCCGACTGGTGAAGACAAACAATGTCTACCTTTCAAGCATTGATTGCAATCGAGCAACTTCTTAACGAAGTCTTTAACAATCAGAAGAGTTTTATTTGCTTTCTATTGTTTTATTTTTATCGATGAAATTCGTTGTTACTATGCTATTTACCTTCTTATATTGTTCCGTATATTTTTAATGTTTTGAAATGAAAACGTCTTTAGTTGCGTTTTGTACTTTTTTTTTGAAGAGTGAATTAGATAGAACCATCAGATTTCCGATGCGTAACGCTCGGCTAATGTCAACTAATTGAAGTGTATTTTCATTAAAATATCTTATAAACTAAAAATCGGACCTGTATACTGTAAGCGAGTGAATTGTTTAGCGTTTCATCCTCTCTGTAATGAACTATTATTAAAAAATTTATCTTAACGCGACGCTGTGACAAGGAGACGAAAAAGAAAAAATAGTGTCGATCACCAAATCATAACGAGAATTGAAGATATGAATTAAAATATCTCAGACACTAAAAATCAGACCTGCTTAATGTAAGCGAGAGAAATGTTCAACATTTCATAATAAATTTCTGAACCATCCGAATCCTCTTGTTTCCAACCTTGCTTCCTCTTCTATTCCTGATAACTCTCCGAGGCGTCTGTAAAGAAGATGGCCTTGGAACCTTCTAATATAAAAATATAATTGGAGTGCTACCAATTGGTAATTTCTCTTCATGCTGTACATATCATGTTACTTGTTCATATTTACTTGTTGTATTCATCATTTATAACAGTTGAAAATTTCAATAATGATAAAAATAAAAAATTAAAAAATATTTCATATTATTAATCTTTCCTTTTTGATGTTTTCACTTCTATCGTGTGATCTTAAGCACACACCTTAGTTTGTTTTGTTTTTAACTAAATCCTACATTGAGACCTCATAGTAAAATTAATCTTTTTCTTTAAATTATTTTTGACTAAGGGTCACCGAAATTCATTTTCTATATTCAGATAATTTAGTTGAACCTCTAAAAATACATAAATTATTATAAATTCAAATTTATTTCGAAACAGAATACAGTAATTTTGATTATACATATAGTAGCATGAATGTGGTCTTAACTCCCTATAATTATTGTCCAAGTGACATAATATTATGTTACTTTATAAATAGACACCAAGTAGGTGGAGTCCTCATACCCGATCTTACTTAGCTCATAATTTATGACTGGCTTATTTAGGAGTGGGGATGGAGGGTTTGAAAATCAGATATTTTATATATTTCTGTCGGAGGCATACTTAACTTATTTATAAACATATGCACTTCTTTACGTTGTTTTTTTTTCTTACTTCTTAATTATTGAATTGTTTTATTCATAATAATTATTTGGTTTATTTATTATTACTTTTGATACACTTATCTTTATCATTTATTTGTAACTCAAAAACAATTTCTTTGCATATTGTAATGTTTTTATTATTATTATGTTTATATTACCGCTATCTCATTTTTAAGTTTCAGCTTTTTCTTTTCTTATACTTTTATATTTATCATTCATTTTTCCGGTGTGATTTTATTCACAATTTTTTTACTGCACATTCTGACCATTTTTCATCCTTACAATTTAACAGTTCACTATATACCCATCCCTTAATTTTATATATTATAATTCTATCTATTGATATAGCATAAAAATTGTTTAAATTATCTACACCTGTCTGTTGATTAACTGACTGTTTAATGTTTCTGTTTTATAAGATAGATTCCATTATTTTGCGTTTGTTTACATTTATTTCTCTACGTATAATTGATTCAATATTAAAATCAAAAGTGTTGGGGCCGGAGGTATTTCAAAATTAAAACACAAACCCTTCCCCGGTGAGTTTCCTCAAAGGTGGGGAAAATTCGAGCAAAATTAATAAATTAATGAAGGGAAAGAAAGGGAAAAAATTAGTGAATAAAAATGAGACCTGTAAAAGAGAAAAAAAAAACATGCTCGTAACATAAAAATCCCTTTTTGAAAGTTTACAATTTATTATAGTGGAAAAGCTATAAGTTTATACAAAGGTTTAAATAAACAAGGATGAAAGTTACGAGAAAAAATAAAACATAAATATAATATCCAGAGAAAATAAAACCAAATTAAACATTATGAATAAAACCAACTTCTAAAATTATAAATAAAACCAAGAGAAAATAAATAACTGTTCAAAAGAATAAAACTAATTTACAGGTGAAAGAAATCAAATTAATATTTAAATGTTTTTGGTAATGGTGAGAATAAACAACGAGCCAAGCTGGAGGTTCTGTTTTCAACCAGGTTACCTTTTCGATACCACACAGTCTTTGTGGAGGAAATATCGAATCGATAGCCAATCGATCGATCGACGACCGCCGATGCGCCAAACAGCTGTTCTTTGAAAATGGCGCTCTGCGAGGTGAGGTGAACCTGGAGCTGGGTGAAAATGGTGGGGGTAGACTTCCAACACGAACGAAAGATAGCTCCAAACTGGCCACCCGGCAGTATTTTGATGTCTTAATCCCTAATACTAGGTATTACTGCCGGGCTGGTGCATATACAAATGCGATAATATATTGCAAAATAAACCTAAATATATAAATAATATACACCAAAATACATTTTAGGGACAATATTCCTCGGCCTATTACAAAAAGAATAATAAACATTTATTCCATTTACATTCAAAAAGGGTAAAAATGGTGAGACAAAATAACAATAAAAATAAATAAAGATACGAGTGTATGCGGCGTTAACAAAAAATATGTCCACTTTTCACCTTATGTTTTGAGTGGCCATATAAACTAATAATTATTAATAAAAGATTAAATAATAATATGGTGCCATACATAAAAATTTATACTAGAAAAATAAAATTTATTTTATTTTCAGGACCCGAGGTTCAACAGCGAAATCGACATGAGAACAGGCTACAAGACGAACACCATCCTCTGCGGACCGATATCCAACTACGAGGGCGAGGTGATAGGAGTCGCCCAGATCATCAACAAAACTGACGGGACCAAGGAGTTCACCGAGAGAGATGTCGAGGTTTCGATTAGCTAACATTTTTTGGCTTGAATATTTTTATTCTAAAAAGCAGGGGTTGTATGAAACAGTTAACTCTACATACTGGCCTCCACTTTCCAACAGTTGACCAGCATCTAACGTCCCTTTATCAACGATTTTATACTAATTTAAACGGACATAATAACAAACTAATAAGAGACATGACCACAGCTGACATACCTCAGAACATGAGTAGGAGACTAAAAAGGAGTTGGATGATAAATCTCTTTCCTTAAACAACCTAAGTAATTGGAACAACTTATGGAAGAGTAATGTAGTAGGGAAGTACTGCTGAGTACTTTCCTTCCCCATGTTATTATTTCCTGTATCGTCATCACATTTGCCGATTGTCAACAATAAGTTGATAGGCGCAAATACATTTTTAAAGACAAAAGAAAAAAAAAAACTTTTACCTATGGTCCAGTCAATGAATACTCAAAAAGGGGGTATAGAAGGAAATGGCGGGGACATAATTTTTGACTAAGGGACATTGTTTGGACGAAGTAAGGAGGTAGACACATACTAAAAGTCTCCACTCCTAGCAGGTGAGCCAGATGTGTGAGGGGAAGGGACATCTAGAAGGTCACTTTTTTTGGTGTTTTCGCTTATATCAGAAAAACTATCCATCGTATCGACAAAAACACTCTATACAAAATTAATGCTGGTAAAATTTACAATATGATTGATTATATATATTTTTTGCTTCCTAGCTTAGTTTCCGATGTATCCATCCTCGATCTAAGATTGGAGAAAAATAAAATGTTTGCTTCATGTTTATTGCTGTATTTTGGGTTTTCGCATGTATCAGGATAACTATCCATCGCATCGACAAAAATATTCTATACACAATTAATGCTGATAAAATTTACAATATTATTGATTATATATATTTTTTGCTGCCTCGCTTAGTTTCTGATACATCCGTCGTCAATCAAATTTTGAAGGAAAAAAAATATTTGCTTCGTGTTTATTGCTGGATTTCGAGTTTTTGCATGTATCAGAATAACTATCCATCAAATTGACAAAGACACTCTATACAAAATTAATACTGTTAAAATTTACAATATGATTGATTATATATCTTTTTTATTACCTCGCTTACTTTCCGATATATCCGTCGTCAATCAAATTTTGAAGGAAAAAAAATATTTGCTTCGTGTTTATTGCTGGATTTCGAGTTTTTGCATATATCAGAATAACTATCCATCAAATTGACAAAGACATTCTATACAAAATTAATGCTGATAAAATTTACAATATGATTGATTATATATCTTTTTTGCTACCTCGCTTAGTTTCCGACATATCTGTCCTCAATCTAATTTAGAAAAAAAATTAAATGTTTGCTTCATGTTTATTGCTGTATTTCGGGTTTTCGCATATATCAGGATAACTATCCATTGCACCGACAAAGACATTCTATACAAAATTAATACTGATAAAATTTACAATATCATTTATTATATATATTTTTTGCTAACTCGCTTAGTTTCCGATATATCCATCGTCAATCAAATTTTGAAGGAAAAAAAATATTTGCTTCGTGTTTATTGCTGGATTTCGAGTTTTTGCATATATCAGAATAACTATCCATCAAATTGACAAAGACATTCCATACAAAATTAATGCTGATAAAATTTACAATATGATGGATTATATATCTTTTTTGTTACCTCGCTTGGTTTCCGATATATCCGTCCTCAATTTAATTTTGACAAAAAAATCTTTGCCTCATGTTTATTGTTCTATTTCCGGCGTTTGCCTACATAAGGAAAACTATATCCATTGCATCGATACAATAATTTGCAGAAAAAAATAATTTTATGATATACGTAATTATATTGCTCTATCTCTCTATACATCTAAATATTTACGTAGATACGAATATATAACAACGAATATTATAAAAAAAAAATTCTCGTCTGCAGATTCTCGAAATTGACATATAAAGTTAATATAATTGATCTAACTTTTGAACCGTTGAAGATAAACTAGTAATATGATAAATATTCTTGAAGAAAGTTGATTTATTAAAAATTTTCTTCTGAATGACTTAATCATAGAACTAATCTATTGTCAGCTAGTGAAATACAGTAAAAAAAAAAACATGAGGTAAATAATTTTTTTTTCAAGATTAGCGATCTATGAGGACGGATATCTTGGAAGCTAAGTGAGGTAGCGAAAAAATATATATACTCAATCATATTGTAAATTTTATCAGCTGTAATTTTGTATAGAACGTCTTTTGTTGATGCGATGAATAGTTTTCCTGATATAAGTGATGATAAACCGAAATAGATCAATATACATGAGGCAAACATTTTTTTTTTTTCAAAATTACCCACAGTTGAGGACGGATATCTCGGAAACTAAATGAGGTAGCAAAAAACGTACACAATCAATCATTTTACAAATTTTATCAAGAAGTTTTTAAATTTTTTATTTATTTATTGATGATATTTACAACTGTAATACAAATAAAAATACATTCAGTAAACGTGAACAAAAGAATATAATAACATGAATTGACTTGATGAGAAACTAACCACTGGTAGCACTCTAAAAATGTATTTACAAAAGGAAATCTCGAGGCCATCTTCTTTTCAGACGCCTCGGAGGGTTGTCAGGGATCGAAGAGGAAGCAAGGCTAGAAACGAGAGGGTTTGGATGGTAATCAACTTTAATCTATACAGCGTATTTACAACGTATGGAACAAGATTGTATGTATTACGTTAATTCAAAAACATCAAAGCTTTTATATCTCTAATAAAAAAATTCTGATTAACAAATAAAATTTTGTATTGTATGATGTTTTCTAAGATAACCTAGAAGTATTTTTCCAGAATCATAGTTTTTTTTAGTTTTCCACTCTGATTACTGAATGGTGTTATAATTATGAAATTATATTACAATTTGTAATTTTTTATACTTATAACTTTTATATGTATATTAAAAAAGCAAAAATGTTTTAAGCTAGAACTTTTATTTGACAGTTTTGAAAAAACCTTTAACCTCTTATTGATTTTTTCAAACAGTCAAAGTAGAACTCATTTGTAAAAAAACTGTTTCAATCCCTGCTAAAAAATAAATACTCATTTAAAAAGTCCACAGTTTAATAGATAAAATAAAAAAGCAAATAACAATAACTCATTAATGCACTTAAAAGCAAGCACTGATAGATGGTATTCCTCTTTGATTAGTATCAATTAATACTAGTGGCTTAGGTATAATTGGTCAGCATCGTACTTCAATCGAGTGAATTATACAATGACTGATGTGAGCTATTCGTTTTAGACCCAAGTGGACCCACCACATCATTTCTCCTTTCTGGGCTGGATTGGTATGTAATGACCAATGTTTGTCGCATTAAAACAAACAATGATAAATCTCTTCTAAGTTAATTAGTTTATTTTAATTTTTGAAAAATATACCTCACTTAAATAAATGATAAATAACCGTTGCACTATTATGATTTTTATAAATATATTTCTGGTGCTGCTGAAAGGATAGACTATTTCATTAATACAGTTAATTTCAGTACTGTGTTAATTTCAGTTAATGTGCAACTCCATTAACAAATTTTAATATTTACAAGATATTAAAAAACTGTAACTCTACTTACAAAAAAAAATTAAAAAGAAGTTCCAATTGATTTTATTATTCTATTGTTTATAGGTGTTCCAGAGGTACCTTACATTCTGTGGGATAGGGATACAGAATGCTCAACTTTTCGAAATGTCTGTGCAAGAATTCAAGAGGAACCAGGTATTCTTTAATCCACGTATTATTTTAGAAATAATTTCTTTTATTTTTCATTTATGTTCTTAAGTTCACATTAACAAATGTTCATGTATGGGCTAATTGGATTGACGCTATACAGATAATTTTTTATTTTTTTTATTGAATATTAATACATTCTGCCACATTGAAGGGCATTAATATTAAGGCTACATGAATCATTCCCACAATATGTACATACAAATAATAACTGAGAATAATAAAGAATAATAGAAATAATAAAGAAAAATAAATATAGAAAAATAAAATAAGTGAATAAATAATAGTAATAATAAAATAAAAATAACATCTTAGACGCAGGCATACCTATTTACACTATTTTACAATCGGTCATGGGAACTCCGAACCAGAATTCTTCCCCCACTTGTGGAGCAAAAAGCGAAGCTTCAGGAGAATTTGTTTAGGATGAGATCAAGAATAAATGGAATGTTAAGGTCATTATGCAGGGTTTTATTTGTGACATAGAAGGAAACATCGACTATTGTACGGAGGACTTTAGACTGGAAGGATTGAATGCATTTGATGTTAGAAAATTTGGTTGTCCCCCACAGTTCTAGTCCGTAGGTCCAGATGGGTTTTAGTATTGTCTATTAAGTTAGTCTATTAGATTTTCTATTAAGTAGTCTATATAGCTGGCCATAACGTCGGTTAAGTTCGTGTCTTTTCAGTCTAGTATGCGGATTCCACGTTAGTCTTCTGTCTAGGAGAAAACCAAGATACCGGACTGTGTCGGAGAAGGGAAGCTGCATGGAATTAAAGTAAACTGGTGGACAGGAATTACGACGAAGGGTGAATGTTATATGTTTACATTTGGATTCATTGACTTACTTTGATGCGCCATTTCTATACAGATAAATAGATAAAAAAAAGTCTTTTGTTCAATCCGTTAAAAAAAATGTTAGAGTTATAATTTATTTAATTTGTTATTATGTATAATTATAATTAAAACTCTAACAAGCAAACAAATAAATAATCAAATGTTAAAGTTCATTCAGTCATTTCAGAAACTCTGGAAAACACAATTATCTAACTTAACTAACAGCGATATTTGCGCTATGTCAATTTTTTTTTACTTCTCTTGTTACCAACAGCAGATATAAAACATTAAAAAAAAGAAATAAAAACACTACTATAGAGAAACAACCATTAGGATATTTGTTTTTCCTATAACTTTACTCCGAATTTTCGAAGTCGCCCAGCCAACCTTCGTGTATAGCTCGGCGGTAGTGCAGGTGTAGTATTCCTTAGCGCCCGAGAGTTATCGAATGCTTTGCAACAGCCATCCATTTTAGTCCGTGGGACAGACTCCATTTTATCAAATTATTAACATCCACCTGAAACTTTATGAATAGCTTCATCTCATCGTAACCTACAACTATTTTATTTACGAAAATTCTAGGAATTGGGGCGTTTTCAATCTGTAGATCGGCAAACTTTGTCTATTTGATTAGCTACATAAAAAATCGTAAATACCCATTTGCTTTCCATTTGAATCGTTCAATAATATCATCACTTGAAAAAAATGTGGCCTACAAAAATATTTGTGGCGTTTGGTATATATAATCTCGTTATTTTAACTTTTTCGGGGTGAAGATCACATCAAAACGCTTACTATTCAAGTGAAAAGCAAATGGGCACTTAAAAGTTTTTAGTAACTAATTAAATAGACAAAGTTTGCCGCTCTTCAGATTGAAAACGCCCCAATTTCGAGAATATCCCCACATATATTATTACAGTAAGGCTCGAAATCGGTTTTGAACCAAATATAAGCTCCTGTCATGCTCAAATACCATGAATGGGGTACCGTTGGATTCAGAATTTCACGGGGGGTTAGCGAATCGTATTCTCCAATTTTGTTTTTCTTTCTAAAATAAATAAAGTCGATACAAACATTTTGCTAGGCTTCAATACTGGAACGGTGGTAGGTCTATAGATCGATACGGGACAAATTGGATCTTGAAGATTTTAATGCGTACAGCAAGACCCGGATAGTTCCAATGGAACTATCGGATCCTGCGTTTTTAAGCTCAAAAACGTACTATTTTCGAGATAACGCAAGGCATAGGGTTCGCATGACACAGCCTTACATTAATTGTGGTACTGTCATTGAAAACATGTCTCATTTCGTCGACTTGAGGTCCCTATGATCGAGACAGGAGGAGTTTGTATTATTTATCGATGGTGTTTTTGATCGGCATGCCTTTGCATCGTTAATTTTTCACCAAATTCGAAGATTTCCTTCTCCTTCAGGCGGGCAAAATAGTCCAATCACCCGGAAAATTCAGGCAAAGAAGTTATGGAAGAAAACAAACTTTATTTGCGGATAACTAAAATATTACACACTTTTCCCTTGGTTATGGCCATGATCATATAAAAGATTACTAAATCCCCTAAAAAAGGAAAAATACTGAAATTTGTGAACATGTTGGTTCCAAACAAAAATGTCGATTATATATAAATATATATATAAATAATGATCGAAAACGATAAAGTAACATTTGATTTCTTTATCTTTTGATACCTTGCATTATTTTATTTTATTATTAATTTGGAATTTTATAACAATATGCTGTGCGAATTTTTCGCACGGGCCAACTAGTTTGTATACAATAAAATAAATAATGTAAATAAAATATTTGTATGTTACGATCAGATTAGTAGGTTGCGAAAGCTATTTACAAAGTTTCAGGCGGATTTTAAAAAATTTGGTAATGAGAGGTCTGTACCTAGACTATTTATGTAATGTAACATTTTCTTTTCTTTTTTTTTTTTATTTGTTATCACCTCTACTCTAGAGGGTCATTGGTGGTTATTTTATTTATACTCTATTGTAATTTTGGGTTTCTATTAAGTATCGGAATAAAGGGGTGACTCCATCTTCGTTTTCTCTTAATATCTCCTTCATTGCTATTGATAGTTTCAATTTTGTCAAATGTTGTTGAACTCTTGGCACTCTACTAACAGATGTTTTATTGACCAATGACCAATTCGTATTCAACACAATATGGTTTCTTCTCTTCTGGATTTTCTTGTGCTTGTGGCAAATTTGTTGCATTCGGTTATTTCTGATAGTTTTGATTGTTTGGTTTTCAATTTGTTTTCCCCAATTTTCCAACAACTTCTTTTATGTTTCCTGTACCCAGTCTTCTACTGCGGTACAGTTTATTTAAATCATGGTTGGTAACTCAGCCTTTCTTGCTAAATCAGCTGCTTGGTCTCCCTGTAGTAAGCCTAGTTCGAACTTTAAAGAGTTTAGATACTTCTTTTATTAGGACTCGACATTCATAATCATTTGTACACGCCATCGACAATTTGAGACAAATTTCCCTAAGAATATCAAATTTGTACATTAAAAACATGGTTACTTTTGGCCAACATTAAATAAATAACGAAGTACTAAATAACTAACTTTATGCAATTAATGATAACGAAAACTTAAACAAATGTATGAAGTATATATGTGTGTATGTTTTTAGATTTAAATTTATACTTAAAAATTACGACTTGCCCATGTGATGTTTTTGAAATCCTAAACAAACTTAAGTTAAAAATAGGAATTTAATACTCTCTACTTTATGACAATTATATGGTCTCCATTATTTTTATTTTTTTATTTTTTGGTTTATTTTTTTATTCACACCTGTCATAATGGTAATGACAACCAGTGAATGTGAGGTTGATTCGAAAAAAAATAATGTCATGAAAGGCATTACGAGGATCAGTGCCCAGCGGCACCTCACTCGGCGTGATATCTACATTAGGCGAGGAGGTCCCTCATCCAGCTCCTCTTCAGTTTCTACAGACGTTACCTGGCATATCCGTAGTGGCCATGTCATTTATAAGTGTATTGGGATGTCCTTGTAAGTTGTCATGGAATCGTTTGTAATGAGTTCGTATGTGTTCGTAACAGTCGGCATATGGAGGTCAGTTTGTAAGGTTATGTTGCTAACGTATCAAGGTGCTTTTGTAATTGTCCTAAATGTTTTTGCTTGAATGGTTTGAAGTTTGTTTAAGTGAGTCTTTTTAGCAGTTCCAAATATTTGTGATGCGTAAGTCCAAATAGGTTGTAGTAAGTAATTGTATGTGTTCAATTTCTGTCTAAGTTTTAATTTTGAATTTTTCGAAAGAAGTGAGTTCAGAATTCTTAATCTTTGATTTAGCGTTTTTAGATTATTTAATCAAATCAATAAGTCAGAAATAACAAACTCAATTTTTGCCGTGTTTACTTTTTTAATTAGTTTCGATATCTCGTCCAACATTTTTTCGACTTTACCTTTGTAAAGCCAATTTAGTTCCAAAGCCTCATTGGATAATCCCTTTGTTTCTTCCCTTTGCCACTAGTTTGTGATTTTTCTTGAGTATAAGAAATGTTAGCTTCAACAGCGTAAATAAAGGTTCTTTTCAAGTTCCGGCAAAGTTTGCTACGAATCAAATTAGCCGGTTGGTGAACTTGGCTAGCGTTAAGTCCATATTGATTTAAGGTTCGAGTAATCGACGTTAAGTTTCTGCTTTAGGGGTTGTTTGGACGGCATTTGTGGCATCGAAAACATTAATCAAAGTTGGTTAAAGTCTTATTCACAGTGTAACAAACGCCAACGTCACTCGCCAAGTATATCAAATCTTCATGAAGCAAACATGGAGTTATTTCAAACTCGACGTTCACATACATATAATTCAGAGAAATTTATTCAAGATACTTACTGGTACTAGTACTGAGAGGATGAACTAACCCTCCAATCGGGACACATCATCCTTCTCTTCAGCGGCTACATGGAAGTTGCTGTCGCCTACCAACAAGAGTGGGATTGTCAAGGTAAATTTCTCGGGATAATTATGAATAAACTGACCCAAAAAGAAGTTTCACACACACTGGTCTGAACGTGGGACCATATCTAAGAACCTCGTCATAAGAGATCAATTTAACTTCAATTAATATTTTTTTTTTTTTAACTTTTATTATGATATTT